GGGGATCTTTAATCTGGATCGGGGGCTTGGGGCAGCTGTGGGTAGGGATGTCTGACCTGGGTTGTAAAGCATCCAGACCACTTCCTGCTCGGCTGGCCCAGTGGTTGGAACATAGCTTCACTGACTTCACACCCTTCTGATTTCCTGGCCACAACCTGCTTTTTGAGTGCTGACAGGATTGAGCAGAGTGGGGTATGACTTCACAGGCCTTGGGAAGACCTTGCTGCCCCGGATGCCTCTCATGTGCAATGCCTGGCATTCTTTTAATGGGGAACAGCCTGTCTTTTCATGATTAGAAGGAAAGTGGGAACTCACAGACACAAGAGAACCTGAGGCTGCAGAGGGTGCCCTGGCACCTCAGAGCCACGGTGGAGAGAAGTGGCAGTGTGATTTGGGGAGAAGGGTGAGGAGCTCCGTAAGGAACCTCTTTTACCTCATTCTGTCCAAATGCCATCTTGACAGGTAGATCGGGGCTCAGGGCTGCTCCAAGGAGATGTTTGGCAACAGTTGCTTAGAGGGTAGAGTTTGGGCTCCATTCCGGGCCCAAGCCGTGGTGATAAGGAAAAAACAGGACAGATGTGAAGACCGTGAGTGTTGCTGTTGAGAAGGACCTTAGAAGTCATCTAGTCCAGTCACCTCATGGCAGCTGGAGGAGCCGAGCCTCAGAGAGGGTGGGGCTTCTCTGCAGGTACCACAGGGCCCTGTGGATTGTTCCCATTGCCTCCCCCATATTCAAAGACCACACTCATAACCGGCTCACCAGGCCCTAGAATGTTGACACTGACAGACCCTAGATGTTACCTTAGGTAACTGCCTCATATTCCAAATAAGGAAATTGAGAGACAGGAGCTTGTGTTCTGTCCAAGGTCACCAGTGACCTTCAGTCACTGGTGCCTAGCTCAAGGTTACTGGGTGGGAGGGTACAGGAGGACAAGCGGGGCTTTACAAAGGTCAGCCATAGCCTTGGTAAGCACAATTATGCGAGTTTTTTAATTTTTTGAAGCCCCCTTCAGCAGGAACCCTCTGAGATGGTTACCAGGTCTTCCCACACACTTGTAGTGACAGGAATGTCCTCCCCTCTTAAGCCAGCCCGTTCCTTGGTTACTCAACTCAAGGTGAAAGGTCATCGTGACTGGTTTAGAGCTCCTGAGGTACTAGTCCTATTGCCTTGGGTTAGCTTGCTTTCTCCAGAAGCAGCAGACCCTGAAATACTTCCCCTTAGAGAAGAGAAGGAAATCCAAGAGAGTGTTTCCCTTGAGCCTGATAGCACTGTGGGCACCTGGAGCTCAATCTCAGTGGCGACCTCTGGGCACAGTGAGGGCACAGCCCTCCAAACCCAGGTCAAGGAAGCTGAGTCTTTATCCATTCCCTTCCCACCCACGATGGGAGCAGGGCTGCTGCCAGGGATACTGCCTCCCCAGCCTTCCAAGCTGCCCTGTGCGTGGGCCAAGTCATGCGCAGGCAGGAGCTGTCATTCGGCATTCAGCTGCCTGCAAGGAATTGGTGAGAGCTGAGGGCCATGGGCAGGGCACCAACAGCGTCTTCTCTACTTCTCGTCTTAGATTCCATGACTCATATTTGCTTCTGAAAATATTCAGGCAACACAGTTCTGGCCCTTAGTAAATATCTAACACTCTTAGGAGATAGAATACACTAAATGACTCATTTTCCTGTCAAGAACATCCCAAATAAGCAAACTGCTGACACTTATGAGGGTCTGACCTTTCAGATGCTGCGGTGATGCAGCCCCATTTCTTTCATTTCAGGAAACTGGGTTTCCATCTCTCTGACATTTATTCCCAGGCGCCCATTCCATTCCCTCCTCTACCTCCACCTTCCATTCTGATCATCAGGACTGATTTGTCTCAGCAGGGAAGTGAGCAAACAAAACAGGTCTTGCTTAGATCTGTGAGCCAGTGCCAAGTGGAGCACACAAGCTATTTCCGTGTACAGCTCACTTTGCCGTGTTTATTTGCCCAATGAAGAAAGATGTGCAGTAGAGCGGTGCAGAGTCTGCTCTGAGGGCAATTGCAATGTCATCAACCCAGGCCTGCTGAGATGGAGGGGCGGCATCCACGGGGCCTCTGGCAGAGTGCCCCCACTCACAGAAGGAGAGTCCCAGCTCTGCTTCCCTCTGTGGAAGCGGAGAGTGAAAGAGGAGTGCATGTCCCTTGCCTAGTCTGTCCGTGAGGGTCTGTCCAAGGGCGGGGCGAGTCAGGAGCTATGAAGGCAAGAAAGCCCTGGGACCCCTCGCAGGACCCAGGCTAAGGTCACAGGGGAGTGAGTCAGGAAGGAAGGAATGCAACCTTAAGAGACAACTCGGGGGTCTTGAGAGGAGGCAGTTTAGAGATGGTCACCAGCACATTTCATTAGACGACAGAGGAACCGAGACTCTGAGAATGAGACCCCCAGGGGCTAATGGCCAGTTGGGACCTCACACCCAGGACTCTTAGTCCTTGGTCTCAAGTAGTCTTTTCATTTTCCTGGAGCTGATTCCTGTGAACTTGCCACTGCTGAATGCCGAGGGATGGAGATCTTTGTGTTTTGAAATAGACATTCAAAGTTCCAAGATGTGAATAACAAGAGGGGACATAAAGTGCCACCTCCAATTTCCAGATGTCTGGGGCAAAGAATGACACTCTCTGCATGTCCCTGGCAACGTAAAACAAGGGACAAGCTCCAGCAGCTGTTGGTGCCCCTGCTCAACTTCTCAGCCTTCACTTACAACAGAGTCCCCAGGCACTTATTTTAATACATACAGTCCTAACAAGGGTGACTTCTTGGTGTCCTAGGCCCTGGGCATCTCAAATTTCCGTGGGTACATGAATCTCCTGCCAGCCTTGTTGAAATACAGATTCTGATTTTGCAGATCAGAGGTGGGGCCTGAGGGTCTGTATCTCTAATAATCTCCTGAAAGAGGCTTCTGCTGCTGGGAATGCGTTCAAGGGCCTCATTTTATGCAGTTAAGTCCTAACAGTGATTTTCAAAGTGTTGGTCAAGACTCATTTAAGAGGTGAAATGAATGTAGTGGGTCAAAATAAGTATTTTTAAAGAAAGAAAGCATATACCATGAATAGTAAAGATAGCTGTAATTTCGTTTTGGCTATTGATATATACGTGTGTGGGGGTCTTTTTTTTTTTTTTCACTTTCGACTTCTATTTTATTTCCTTTGCAAAAGTCAAGACAGGAACTTTTTGTCTTACAGCATCCAAATTAGAAATCTGATTAATGAGGATGGGGGGAGTTGGCACCATTGTGAACAAATCTCTCCATTACTAAGGAATAAAGTATTATTAATGTTTCTCTCCCATTTAAAAGTTAATTCTTACCAGAATGATGGGCAGCTTTTCTGAAGTTGTTTTTATTCTAATATTTAAATTCCTTATACCTTACTTGAAATGATTGCCTTTATTTGGACTTTGATTATGCTTCATTATATTCTTTTATAGTAAATATTGAAAGTATTTAATATTTTATTCATCCCTTAGCCCCCTAAATCTATACACACTTAATCTGTTTTAGCAACTGCTTAGCAAGAAACACTGAGGAATCCTCACCATAAATCCTCCTCATAATCGAAAAACCCCTGGTAATGTGTGTAAATCATCATTTCTCCCTCCAGAGTGAGCGCTCCTTGAGAACAGAGTATGAGCCAGCATATATGACAATGGGGGGAGGTATAAGAACCCTGTGAATAGATAGGGAATTAGTAACTACCAGGGAAAGTGACCAGGGAAAGTAGTTCCCTGTGGGGGGTCTTGATATAAATGTATTTTTTAACTGCAGGTTGGGGTCAGAATGTGGGGGATTTAGTGGGGGATTTAGTGGGGTTCAGTGATAAGGGCAACACAGCAGAGGAAGGGGAGGAAGCTCATGTCCAGCCCTGCTCTGGCAGTGGGGGACAGAGGGCCGACTCCTTAGGGACACACCAGAGCCCTCCCACTTTGTCTTGGAAAACAGCTCCTCTGGCTGTTCCAGCCAGGGGCTCTGTCCAGATCTGTCCCAGAAGCTAGGAGCTGGCCAAGCTGGAAATCCCCAGTAAGCAAGTCACAGGGGCAGGGAGAGTAAGGTAATATCAGGCTGGAGTTTTGAGAGACAAAGATGGTCGCTGTGAGGAAGTGAAAAGACAGTGGATCACTGCTGAGCCGGGGACTAGCCCTGGCTGGACTGCAGGTGAAGCCCCAGAGGTTTGGTTAGACTGATTAGGGAGATGCAGCTAGGCTCCAACCACTAACTAGGTCAGGGAGACTTCTCCGGGGGGAGCTGACGCCTTAAATAACACTTAACAGCATTTGTTGAACTCTTAGGTGTCCTGGGCCCTGCGCCAGGCATTTTACAAGTGTTACCTCATCCAACACCAAGAGCTCTGTTTGTCTTGGGAAGCACATGTCACATGCCAGGCCCTGGATTCTAAACTGATGCTCTTGTAGAATCCTCATGACAGCTTGTGTGCCCGGTACTATTTTTGTAATTGTCCTCAACTTGCAGATGAGGAAACAGAGACATAGTCATTTAAGCCCCATGGTTTGCAGCTGGCCTGGCACTATCATTGGTACTTTTTGTTGTCATATGTTTTTACTTTCACTGTTTTCTTAGGTATAATTTATATATAGCCAAGTGTGTAGCTCCATGAGTTTTTGTGTGTGTATACACCCATGTAGCTGAAATCTAGATCAAGATCTAGACCATTTCCAGCTCCTAAGGTAGTCCCCTTGTGCCCCTTCCCAGTCAATTCCCCTCCACTGTTTGAACTTCTACTGCATTAGCACTGTCTATTCTTGATTGTATTTTATGGCTGGCTTCTTTCCTTCAACATAAGTATCTTCAAGTTTCTTCCATGTGTCAGGTGTAGCAATGTTCGTACTTTCTGTTTTATTGCTGAGCCGCATTCTATTCATGAAAGCATCACAGTTTGATTGTCCATTCTCCAGCTGATGGATATTTGGGATGTTTCCAGTTCTTTTCTATTTTGACCAGAGCCACTGTGGACACTCACACACGTCTTCCAGGGTACGTGTTCACCATGTCTCCTAGGTCTTTACTGAGGAGTGGAAATGTTCGGTTTTGCAGTTTGTAGCCTCGGCTCCTAATCTCTGCACCACGCTGACCCAGACAGGCAGTGTTATTATCTCATTTCACAGAGGGGAAAGTTGAACCTGAGTGAGATTGAGTGACTTATGAGGGGACTTGGTAGCATGGGGCTGAGCTTCGGAACTTGACCCAGAGCCGGGTAGCTGTTCCAGTGATTGGTGTGAGGGCTTTGACCCGCTGCTGGCTTTGATCAAAACCTTGGTGGCTGACCCACAGCTTGGAGCTTGATCCTTTCCTGGGGACTCAAATCCTATTGGAAAACCCTTTTGACCTTACTATTCTTTGAAGACATGAAGAATGAGAAGGTCCTTTTTCAATTTATTGGACTGGAGGTGTGGCAGCAATAGGATGAAAGGCGAGGGGCAGGAGTGAGCAGGTGTAGCAAGTAAAAACCCAATTCCACTCAGGAAGATGGGGCAGGACCACATTTGGGTTGATAATATCTGCCAAGTTCAGGGTTTTCCCTCAGTGCGATTTTAGTGTTTTTGCAGCACAACAACCAGAGGGCTGTGGAATTCATCCCTACCCTCTGACCAAACACAGGAAAACCCACCTCTGATTTAGGAATCATAGTTTTGAATTTTCAGGCTGTCAGCCTCATATATCATGAAACAGGAGTCCTGAGATCTCCGACTTTTACACCACTCAGCTTGTTGTGTCTCCCTTCTCTCATCAGCATACTGATCTCCTTGGGAGGCTCTGAATTTGTTTGCTCCAGCAAGGTTTCCTTTTCCCTGCATTCCCGCAAGGTGTACGTGTTGTCATTGAAGTGGTATCTCATTCTTCTCTGATTGTGTCTGTCCCTGACTATTCAGGTGACATATCTTGCCACATGTTTATTAGTGGATCTGCTCTACTGCAAAGGTCCTAAACTGGCAATGACTTTGCTCCCTTCCCCTTGGGGACATGTGGCAATGTCTGCTGACATTTTTGGGTGTCACAACTCTTGGGGGTGTGTGCGTGCTGCTGACATCTACTGAGAAGAGACTAGACATGCTACTAACCATTCCACAAAACTCAGGATGGCCCCCACAGCAAGGGATTATCAGGCCCCAAGTGTCAATAGTGCTGGTGCTGAGAAAGCCTGCTCCACTGTGAATTGCTGGCAAGAAAATTAATTTAGAGATGCTCTTGACATATGAGAGGCTTTAGCCCTTTGTCTGTCATCTGCATTGCAAATATTCCCGAAATCTGTCAGTGTTTAGTTTTGTTTCTATCTTTTGTCACACATGCAAAAATTAATGTAGTCAGGTATATCTTTAATTTTTATTATAGCCTCTGAGTTTCTTTGTATGGTTGAGGTCCCCTCAACCCTTGTTTGGTACATATGGTTTCTTATTTTTACTTCTAGAGAGGTTTCTATTGTTCTAGTCATTTTACTGGGCCTTAATCCATCTGGAATTGGGTTTTGTGAATGGTGGGACATAAGGGGCCAAATATATTTTTTTACAGGTGGAGAAGCAGTTGCGATTTTGCTGTATCTTTCCACTGAATTAAAATCCCACTTCTGTCATATATTAACTTCACACACATTTCTGGGCTCCCTCTTCTTTTCCAATGATACTTGCCAATCTTGGGTTAATGCCCTCAGACCTTCATTACATGGCTTTGCAGTATATCATACCACAAAAGGCAGTTGTCACCTCTATTCTTTTTATCCCTCCTTAAGTAATTTTTTGGTCAATTTTAAACATTCATTCTTCCTTCTTAGGTCCCAAAATAAAGGGAAGACTCCTCCCTTCCAAGGTGGGCTGTATGCCCTGCTTTCTGGGTTTGTAGCACAGTGCATTTCCCTTTGTGCTGCTGATCAGGACTGTCATTAGATAGCCACTGGCTGCCAGGGCCGCTTGCTCTGCGCCTCGCTCCCAGCAGGGGCCTGGTTCCTAGCATGTGGCTGGTACTTGTTAGGTATTGGCTGAATGAATGAATAAGTAGATGATACACTTTTTTTTTTAACATGAAAACTAGCCTTATCTCTTGTGTTGTTTTGGGCCCAAGGCACTCAGAGATTGGTTTAGTCTTGTCACTGCCACTGTGTGGCCTTGGACAGTTGCTTCTCTCTGCTGCCTCAGTTTTCTTACTTGTCTGTCCAACTGGGCCTGATGAGCCCTGAGCTCCTCCCACTCTCACACACTGAGGCTGGGCCTGTGGGCCAGGAAGAGCTCTTGGGGGAAGAACCGCAGAAAGAGGAGCACCAGCTGACTGGTCACAGTGGGCACACTGCCTGTGGCCCCCGTTCTTTCAGGGACCTATGAAAATGTTCCAGTTTCTTTTAAAATCAGAATAAAAAATGAACTTTTAGGCAGAAGAAAATGTTTTTGAATATAACAATGTACTTGCATATAACCTTATATGCAATAACAGTATACTTTAATATATAACAATATACCAATGCAGTCATAAAATGTAATTACAATTATTTTTTAGTGGAGGAAGGGGATCCATGAAGGCAAGAGTGCCAAGGACCCATGGAAGTCATAAGGTGGCCCTGCTAAACACAACCCAGATGAGTGAGATGAAACTGGTATTGGGAGCACAACAGGCCCAGGCAGAGTAGGGGAAATGAAGGAAAGCAGCCATTTGCCTGGGTATTGCCAGAGATAAGAACATGCACAGACTGAATAGGGTGTAGGAGCCCTTTTGTGCCCTGGGCTGTGTCCTGAGCAAACCCAGATGTGAGCAGGCACAACTGATCCAAAAGTACGGCAGCTAGACAGGCCTGGGTTCTGGGCCTGGCTACTCCTCATGCTACTTACCTGTGTGACCTTAGGCTAGTCACTTCACCTCTGGGAAACCCAGACCCCTCATTTGGAAAACAGTAGCAATAACACCTTCTTTGTAGGACTGTTTGTTCATTCATGCAGTCACTTGGCTTATTTGTGGTGCTTCTACAGTATTCCAGGCCCTGTGCTAGGTGCTGAGTACCTACAACGGTGTGCCCCACCACACCTCGCCCAGGGCCTGGCACCGAGCAGGTCCTCACTAAACATTTGTTCAATGAATACTTGGAAAAGAGGCCCAGATGGGGGAGGAGGTTCCAAATATAAGTAAGTGAATATATATATATAATGCACAGATGATGATAAACATAAACATATACCTATATCAAATGTAACATGGAATTCTAAAGAAAATAAGGTGCCGGGAAGGAAAAGAACAGGGCACAGTGACAAAATGACTGGGCATGCGGAGCAGGGCAAGACAGCATCTGCTCCGAAGTAGTGTTCCAGGTGGCCTTCTCTGAGGAGGTGGCATTGCAGCGGAGCCTGGAGAGGAAGGGTGAGCGACTCATGGGACCAGCCCCCTCCGCGCCCTCGCTTGCAGGCGTCCAGCCGGCGCTCTGGAGCAGGGAGGATGTGCTGCACTGGCTGCGCTGGGCCGAGCAGGAGTACTCTCTGCAGCGCACCGGGGAGCGCGGCTTTGAGATGAATGGCCGAGCCCTCTGCATCCTCACCAAGGACGACTTCCGGCTCCGCGCGCCCGATTCAGGTCAGGGAAACTCCCTGCCTCCGCTGGAAGCCCTGTCCGCCCAGGGAGGGGGACGGCGGGCGGTTGGCTGGAGGCGCATGCTCACCCCGGCCCGGTGGTTTCCGCTGAAGCAGCAGCGGAGTCACTCCGGCTGCTGTTTTCAGGGCTCCAGGGGCCCGTCCTGTCCTGCTGTCCTCCCTTCCCCGCGGCCCCGGTCTGCCCCACCCATTTCCAGCGCCCGCGTCTCACTCCATCAGCGCGAAGCTTGGCGACGGGCCGAGGCAGCCCCTCGAGAGGCAGGTGGCCGGTGGCGGCCCGCCCTCCCCGGCGGCGCGCTCAGCCGCCGGCCCTCCCGCCCACCCCCAGGTGACGTCCTGTATGAGCTGCTCCGGTACATCAGGACCCAGCGGCAAGCCCTGGTGTGCGGGCCCTTCTTTGGAGGGGCCTTCAGGCCGAAGATGCCCACTCAGCGCTGCCCCTGCCCCCTGGAAGGTGAGGAGGCTCTGCTGGGGGGCTCTGAGACCCTCCCCTAAGACGCCTCAAGGTGGGGGTGGTGGGGGTGGCTTCTTCCGGCAAAGTAAAGAAGGGGCCGCGCTGTGGGCTGAGCTCCCCTCTCCCCCCAGCCCTCCCCTCCTGCGCTCTGGGGCACTCCTGGCAGCCCTTTGTGCTGCAGCCCTCTGGCGGGGAGGCCTTGCCTCTCATCCCCTCCTTTCTCTGCTCTCCTCTCCAGCAAAGAGCTGTTGGTATGCTGCCTCTACTCCCTCTGCTCGGATCTTTCCAAAGAAGCCCTTCTTGTCAGGGTCTCCGGGGACCCGAACAGGGATGTGCATGTCCGCTCTCAGTGTCACTGGCATGACCTCTCAGCCTGCAGCCCAGTGGGCCATCCTCCCTCCCCCTGAACTCCTCCCTTGGCTTCTAGAACACCCCACCACCACTCCTTCTCAGTGTCCTGGTTTTTCTCCTCCCCTACTTCTAAACGTTGGGGAACCGCAGGACTCAGGGTCCTCTTCTCTATCTGCATTCAGGCCTGAATAATCTCATCTACTCTTGGGTGTTAAATACTGTGTATTGCCGATGACTCCCGTACATACCTGGACCTCTCTGAATTGCGGACTCATGAACCCCGCACTCCTACCCAACCTCCACTGGGATGTCTAACAGCACTTCGACCCAAAAGCTCCTAAAGCAATCACCTGCTTCCTGTCTCCACCCCAACCCTACTCCTCTCCCAGCCTCTCTTCTCAGCACACTGCTCCATCTTTCCAGTTGCTCTGGCCAAAACATTGGACGTCATCTCTGATTGTTCTTCCTCTTCCACCCTCATCCCGGTCCCAAATCTTGTTGACTCTACCTTCAAAATCTCCAGAATCCTACCACTTCATGCAGCTCCCCTGTTGTCCGTGGGCCAGCCCCCATCACCTTTAGAGAGCCTCCTCCCAGGTCTTCTTGCTTCCGTTCTTGACATCCTGTGATCTATTCTTAGCAGAGCAGCCAGAGAGAGTCACAGATCAGGCCATGTCATTTCTCTCCTCAAAAACCTTCCAGTGGCTCTGGTCTCACTCAGTGTCAAAGCACATTTCTTACCTGACCCCTATGATTTCTCCTATCCTCTTCCACCCCTATGCTCCTTGATCAGGCAGCTCCAAATACACTAGCCTCTTTGTTCATTGGACAAGCCACAGACACTCCTGCCTCAGGGCCTTTGCACTTGCTGTTCCCTCTGCCTGGCATTCCCTTCTCTAGATACCCATGTAGCTCATTCCTCTACCTTTCCTCAGGTCTCCATTCAAATGTTAACACGTCAGTGAGTCCTTCCCTGGCCAATTAGTGCATGCATATACCCAGGATTCCCAATTTGCCTTACAGTGTTTTATTCCCTCCTGCCCCTATTATATACTGTTTCTATTTCCTTTTTTATTGTAGTCATCTACCTCCCTCAGCCTCACCCCCCAAACAGAACAATGCCTGGCTCATAGAACATTCTCAATAAATATTTATTTGGCAGATGGAGAGTACATTGGACTGAGAAACAGGGCACCTGGGTCCTGGTCCTAGCTCTGTCACCCCAAAATTGTGCAAAATAGTGGCTTTGCAAACAATTTTACTGATGAGGGAACAGGATTGAGAGATTAAGTTTCTTGTCTGGGAGCTAGGCTTAGCCCGTGGGCTGTCTCCCTCATGCCCTCCACTGCCTCCCTGACATCTAACCAGGGCAGGAACAGCATCAGGAGTACTGCCTCATGGGGCTCCCAGGCATGTCCTTGAGGGGGTTTGGGCTGGGGGAGGCTCTGGGCTACAGCATCAGCGGAGCTCATCTGCTTGCAGAGAGGACCAGGCCCTCTCAGGTGGCCCCCCTCGGGGCCTCCTGCAGCAGCCACCAGACCTGGGGCTTGCCAGTACCAGGAGCCACCTGGATGCCCCTGGCTTGGCCAGGTGGCCCCTCAGCAGGGAGGAGTCCCTAAACTTATCTCACTGTGCAGAGTTCGGCTGCAGGGATGAGGGAGTCCACTCCTTCCCCACGGTGTCGCCGGCCCCCATAGACGGCAGGATCGCTGGTAAGTAGGAGGCTGTGTTCCCTGGCCCTGAGGGGGGTGTGCTGAGACAGAGTCCCAGGAGGGTCGTGGGTGATGAGGAAGAGGGCGGTTTTGATCTGGGGGATGAGAGGGTCTGTGCTGCGTTGGGGGCAGGGCATGGTGTGACTGTCCTATGTGCTGGCCACAATCTGGTTGCAGCAGGCAGTGCTGCCTGGGATCACCAAGCCCACCCTTTATCCAGGGCAGGGACTATTTAGCCAGTCATAGTCTGGCAGTAGATTTGCATGAAGTATCTCATCTTTCAAACTTTATGTATTTACTTTTAAATAGTTGAGTACTTACAATATGCTAGGCATGGTTCCAAGGCTTTATTTAATCCCACAGAAGCCCTTTGAGGTTGGCATTGTTGTTAGCTCCATTTTACAGATAAAGGAAAATGAGGCACAGAGAGGTTAAGTGACTTCCCCCTGATCACACAGCAGAAAGCAGCAGAGTTGATAAGTAAATCCAAGCAGTCTGGCTCCACAGCCTGAGCTCCAACCTGGTGATACACTTCTACTCCACATTAATTGTTAAAGGACTGACTCACAGACAGGAAACCAGACAGACTGACAGATAAGCTGCCTGCTTTTCCAAAGGGTGTTTTCTAGCCATGGTGGGGCCACTGCATTTTTTCTAAGACACCACAGAGGGGGCAGAAGCCTCGTTTCTGGAAATGACTAGGACTCAATGAAACCCAATTATATATAGTCTTTGTAATAATAATGCTTAACGTTCTTTGAGTACTTACTCTGTACCAGGCACTATGCTAAGGGTTTTTTTTTTTGTCCTTTGGTTACTTAATCCTCATGTTACCTCATATGAAGAAATTGTGGCTCAGAAAAGGTTGGGTAATCTTCCCACAGTGACAGTCCCCACCCCTGGGTGGCCCAGGCAGTGGGGTGAGGATCTTGCTCCTAGGTTCCTTTTGCCACTTGCCTTCCATACTGGCACATTTGATTTTCCCAAATCTCCCATTAAGGGGCTTGATAGGATGGATGTTACAATCCTGATGTAACAGAGATCCAGGGGGCTGAGTGACTGGGCAGAGGCAGAGAGGGGTGTGGAAGCAGGGCTCTGCCCACCGGCCAACAGCCCCCCACCTGCCCCCTGCCCCTCAGTGAAAGGTGTTAGTGTTGCTCAGTCTGCACAGCTGGGTGAGACTCCCCACTCTGCCTGCTGCTTAGGAGCTTGGTGATTGGGACATGTCCGTCTTTCTCTGAGATCAGCTCCTCATCTTTCCCTGGGCATAAAGGGAGCCACTTCCTAAGTTAGGATGATTGAACGAGACAGTGAGTATTGAGCCCCCACACATGGCCTTTCCTATTGATACTGTCATTGTGTCCACCATTGTGCTGCTTGCCTGGGCCCTGCGTCCAGAGCCCCAGAGCACTTGAAAATGCTTTTTAATGCCTGTGCCCATAGCTCCAGGAATGCCCCCTGACTGCATCCTCTGTGCTCAATTGCAGACTGCCGGCTGCTGTGGGATTATGTGTACCAGCTGCTCTCTGACACCAGGTACAAGCCCTACATCAGGTGGGAAGACAAGAATGCCAAGGTCTTCCGAGTTGTGGATCCAAATGGACTTGCCAGACTCTGGGGAAACCATAAGGTGAACCTCAGCCAGCAGGCAGGGTAGTCTCAACATAAACATAACCAGAAGAGGACAGGGCAGGGGGACATAGTGGGCCCCTCAGCATTGGGGGATAGTCCCCAACTGACAGGGGCTTCACCAGGAGCCCTACATGTGCTGGGGGTCATTTTATTGTGGGAGATCCGGAGGGACAGGCAGTTACTTGTTGAGAATGGGGACTGTCTATGGAACTCAGGAATCTTGCCTTCTAATCGCTTAGTCCCACCTTTGCTCAGCATTTGAAACTTTCAAAGCACATTTACATGAGTTGTGTAGCATATGCAGTGGGCAGTTAGGCCAGGTGAGGAAGCTGGTTTCCTGGGGGAACTTGGTGCAGAAAGTCAGGTCCCAGGCTCCAGAGGAGCAATTGGTGTCAGGGTCGGAAAGGCCTGGGAACGACTGAGGGCAGCATTCCCATCGTGAGGAACACCCATACCTAAATGAATGTCTGCCGGAAGATTTGGGGCACTTTAGTTATATTCTAATAATTATTTATTTCAGTAAAAATTAGGATTAAAAGCTTTACTACCATGTCAATTTCATGATTTACAGGAATGATACAAAGTGTCCTTGTCTATAAGTAATTCATTTAGGTTAAAAAAAATGAGTCTTTTAGCAATAATGGCCATCTGCAGTATTAAGCATTTCCTAAAACGGTACAGCGTTTGATTCCCAGGCACTGTTCTGAGGACTTTACATGCATGAACTCACTTCATCCTCACAACAATCCCATGAATTACATGTCAGATGGGGAAACTGGGGCCCAGAGAGCAGCAGTTCTATTTAAGGGGCGCATACTACATGCTGAGTGCTGTGTTAAGTGCTCTCATGGATTAGCTAATTTAATCCTCACAACAGATTTGTTCTTATCCTCATTTTGTAGCCACGAAAACAGATTCAGAGAAAGAAAGAAACTTATCCAAGGTCACACAGCTGCCCAATGGTGGCACTGGGCTTAAATTGACACTGAGGCCCAGCTCTTTGCCTCTGCTCTGCACTGCCCACACCCCAGAGAGAGGGCATAAATGACTTGGCCAAGATTGTGCTGCTGGTGGCAAGGCTATCACGTCCCACCTCCGTGCTGTTTTTTCTCTGTGCATCCAAGTAAAAATATATTTATTTGTTACTACGTGGGTCCACTATTTAAAAGCAACATGTGACTCACTCTGTGCCCTGGTTCTCAGCCTGGCAGGTAGCACCTATCACTTCTCCGCCACCCGCCCCTCCCTCCTCCTACACTCAGGAAAACTCTCCCAGCCCCTCACGGAACCCAGGGCCAAGGGGCTCAATAAGCGACCATCTAGTCCACCCTGCTCCTTTCCCAGTGTGGGAACTGAGGCTGTAGGGACTGATGTGGGGCTGCTTTCCCTTCCAGAACCGGGTGAACATGACCTACGAGAAGATGTCACGCGCCCTGCGCCACTACTACAAGCTGAACATCATTCAGAAGGAACCGGGGCAGAAGCTCCTATTCAGGTGAATAGTCTGGGGGCCTGGATGAAGTAAGTGGGCTGGGGCTGGGTGGGCTGGAAGCCCCCTGCAGCTGAGGTAGGAGCTGATCTGCTGCTGGGGCCTGAATTCCAGATTTCTGAAGACTCCTGGGAAGATCGTCCAGGACAAGCACGGCCACCTGGAGCAGCTGGAGAGCCAGCAGCAGGGCGGGATGGAGACGCTGGAAGCCCTTCCATGAGGGGCAGGTGGATGCTGGGTGCTGGTGCTGACGAGGCAGAGATTGAGTCTCCTACGAAGGCAGCTTGCTGCACGGTGGCCTCCTCCCTCCTCGAGGGGCAGCAAGGGCCCGAGCTGGGGTTTGTAGTCATGAATCACAGCTGTTGTCTTGCATGTGGCCACTGCCTGGAGGCCTGGAAGGCCTGAGAACTGGGAGGCCTCCCATCAAGGACATCACCCAAGGGCATCATTCTTAGGAAGGGCAGCCCTGGGGCCAAGTGGGGGGCTCAGGGAGTGAACCTTCTCTCTGCCCTACCCCTTGCTACCTACCTGGCTGGAGTGGTAGTCGGGCACGGAGAGCATCCAGCCCAACGCGTTCATGCAGAAGAGGAAGCAAAGGTCCCTCGCTGAGCCTCGGCTTTCCTCACTGTAGAAGGGGCGCGCTCCTGAACACCTGCCTTCGGGCCTGATGCATGAGATGGGAGAAAGGACTCCTGCTTTACCAGCCTTAGGCATAGGAACCATAAAGATAACTGAGGCTTAAGTGCTTAGTCTGTGCCAGGCCTTATGCTTAGGGCTCTGCCTCTATTTTGTCTCATTCAGTTCACGCACCAACCAACCCCCTGAGATTTGACAATGGAGAAACTGAGGCAGAGGCTGGCTGAGCAGGATGCCTCTCCACACCCCAGGGCTGTTACCTGTTTTCTTCTAGTGCCTCTGAATATATCAAGCATTTCTTAAGCAGAGGCCGTGGCCCTACCTCTATGTCCCTGGGTCTTTGCTGAACAGTTCAATTCACTTGGCCCAATGCCCTTGTCCTCAGTGTTCAGTCCTTTGGTGATTCTGTGACTATAACCCAGTGAAGATTGCCATCCCCCACCGCCAGCCTGTGGCTTCCTCTGTTCGGGGCCTGCACCTGCCAGGCAACCTTGGGCAGGTTGTTCCACCCCTCTGGAGTCTCAGGTTTCTCAACGGCAAATACTGTTCATGCCTGACCTGGACTGCCAGGAAACTTCAGTAAGACAATGTTTGTGACGTCCTCAGCGTCTACTTGCTCTGCAAGGACAGCTTAACCTGTGTTAGCTGAGAAAACTCTGCAAACCAAGAGCTGCTTTAAAGCATGACAGTGCCTCTGTCCTGTTGGTTCAACATCTCCTGCCTGCTTCCCCAGACCCAAGTACTGGCTGGGGCCTCCTGAGGTCAGAGCCTCTGCCCTTGCAACCCCCTGGTAAGGATGGTGGGGGAAGGGAAGCCAGTGTTTTCACTCAATCGAAAACAGAACTTCTTGGATTCGCATCTTCTTTCTTGGAAGGAGGAAACCACCTCTGCCTGTGGCCTCAGTGGGTCAGGAAATCCCCCATCTGGCTGAACCTGAGTTAGACTTGAATCACTGTACAGGAGAAGGCTGATAAGGATTCTCAGACGTTGGGACTCAAAGCTGACTGCTCATGAGCAAGGAAACTCTTGGCTTAGTCCCATCTTGACAATTCTACATCAGA